TAAGAAGATGAAATGAACATGAATGAACATGAATAAATTCGTGATTTTAATTTTATTTATTAAGCCTTTTATGAATTTGTAAAGAGATTTATGAAAAATTCGAGAGCAATTTTATTTTTTCAAAGAAATATGACGAACTTGACAAATCTGATAAAATATTTTAATAAAATTTCAATGTTTTTATTGTATTTATGTTTGTATTTATAGTTTTATAATATTAATTCGATATATTTAACATTCTTGCTATTATTTAGTATTTTATTTTCATTATATATATGTTATTATAATGTTATTTTTTTTATTGAAACGTTGTTAATATGTGACAACGACATAAATGTTTGAATATTCTTAATTGTTATGTTTATTTTTTTGTAATCCAATGTATTTTTATATCTAGGAAAAAATTATATTTTTGTGTTTTGAAAATTTGTTCAATAAATAGATATTTTGATATAAGAAATAAAAAATTATTGATATTACTTATAGTCTAAATAGATTCCTTGATTCAAAGGAATGATATAAAAATAAAGCTATTTTAACAAATATATAAATATGTAATTTTAAAATTACAGTGTTCTGGAAGATTAATTTTTAATTACAAATAAAATCAGTTATATTCATTAAACTTAAAATAAAACTTAAATTTATATAAATATCTCATACTAAAAATGTCAAAAATGATAAAGAAAAAATTTGTCAATGAAAATTCTCTCTCTCTCTCTCTCTCTCTCTCTCTCTCTCTCTCTCTCTCTCTCTCTCTCTCTCTCTCTCTCTCTCTCTCTCTCTCTCTCTCTCTCTCTCTCTCTCTCTCTCTCTCTCTCTCTCTCTCTCTCTCTCTCTCTCTCTCTCTCTTTCTTTTTTCTCACAAATCACCTTCGTTGAAGAATGAATTTAAATAAGAAATCTAGCCTAACGAAGTAAAAGATCTTTGTGCGATTGCTTTATTTATCGTCGTCGAATTCATTTAATACCATCGAATAGTGTTGCATTCATATAACCATTCCAAATGGAGCATGCAAATTGACACGTTAACAAGATGATTTTTTTTTTTCTTTTTCAATGAACTCTTTGCCTTGAACGTGTCTCCAAAGGATTTTCTTTATGCGTTTCGCGACACGATATGAATGTCATACTTGACGCCTTTTTGTACCTTCTTCATCTGGATATCTCGACATTTATCTGTTTAAAGACCACAAGTGTGGGAATGAGGTAAGAGATATGGAAGTTTACTTTTTTCATACCAATGAGTGGTTGAAAATAAAGTTTCTTTTTTTCTTTTTCCCTTCGGAAACAAAAGATTTCAATTAATAAATATTTGTATAATGTAATATTTTATTCATTATGCTATATAAAAAAATTAACAATAAATAATATGTGAAATGAACTAAAAGATATTTGGAATAGTATATTTGAATATATATAACAGACATATTTGCAAAACTTTTTATTCTTTTATATTTTATTCTTTTATACAAAGAATTAATTACTAATACAAATAAATATAAATAAATAAAATTTTATTTTATATATTATTTTATATATTATAATATTTTATGTAGAGTGAATATAAAATTGAAATTCATTTAACACTAATAGAATTTCAAAATCAAATAAATAAGTTCAACCCATAGAAATTAATCAGATATTAATTCTGATATATTAATTATTATTATTAATTATTTTTAATTATTATTAATTTAAATTAATTTAAATTAATATTCGATTATTATGATATGTTAACGACTATTGTTTTATCTACAGGATATCTCATCTCATACATCAATCAATTCTCTTCTATAAAAAAAGTACTAAATTATAATTATTAATTTAAAAATTCAAATTATTTGAATTTGAATTCTTTAAAATTTATTATATTTTAAATTTATTATATGCAAAACAAAAAACACATAAAATGATATTCATTTGTTGATTTTTCTTGATTTTTATATAATAAGATTTACAAAATTCAAAATAAATTATTTTTTAAATTAATATTTTTTAAGCATTTGCAGATATATCGAGTTACATCGATATATAATTTAAAAAATATATAACATCATTTCATAACATCAAAAAACAAAATTGAGCCTTATACATTTATTTACGAAAAAATTAATAACATCAAAACATACTCCATCTTTCATTCTATTTAATTTTTATTTTGTGAAATTTTTTTTGCTTATGAATAATAATTCTGAAAAAATATTGCATTTGTTTTATACATATTTGAGGCAATTTAATATGTTAATATATGTTAATATGTTAACAATTATTACATTACATGTTATATATGTTAACAATTATTTTTTATTAATAATTATTTTTTTATCTTTGTTTTTTATTTATTGAATAATTTCGATATATTAGAAATATAAATAATCAAAAGAGATTTGTGCAGTTGCATGATCAGTTTATATAATAATTATGGAATGAATAATATATATATATAATAAATACAATATAGTAAAAACAAAAATAAATACGTGATCTCATTTATTATGTATTTTTTTATAATCATATAATTTTATTCATAATCATTATTATATAAAACTGATCATGTAACTGCATAAATTTCATTTGATCATTATATTTCGGAATATATATTGGAATATTCTCATAAATTAAAAAAAAATATATTTTTTTTCGATTTATTTTATAATGTTCATTTTATAATAATAATAATAAATTAATTAACAGATTTTTTATTTTTAATATATAATAAATCAACAAAATTTTCATTTTACTTATTATATTATATTATATTATATTATATTATATTATTAATACTTATAGTATACTATGCAATATTAAATTTTATACACGTTTATGATATTATATATATGTATCCAATATTAAATCTATAGATATTAAATCTGTTGATTTATTATCTAAACATTATAAGAAAAAAATGTATTAATTTTTGAAAATATTTAAATATATTGCAAATTTAAAGTATCAAAATAATAAATTTTGATGAATTTTAAACAATAAATTGATTGTAAAAAGAAAACGATATATTAAAGAAAAATTATAAATTTATTAAAGGAAAAAAAAAT